GATATATATATATATATATAATATTTAATATCAAAGTTTTGATACTTATTAATATAATACTTTAGTATTTCAATCACATGAAAATATTTACATTTAAAACTATATTTTACTTAAAAAAAAAGCTAATATCACACAAATTATTTGATATTAAAAATTTTATCATTATATACAAGTAAATATTAAAATTTGCACACAGCACAAAATTCTCATTTTTGTCTCACATCTAAATTTTCATATTTACATAAATAACACTCAAATGTTTAATATAAACAAGAAATAACTTTTTCTTAGTGTTTAAGTTTGAAATACACTTTTTTTTCTTTTTGTATAATTTTAAAGCATCAAAATATTATGTACATAAATATGAGAGTTTAGGTGTGTCACATGTAAATACATGAGAATGCGTGAAGTATGTATATTTCACTAAAATTTAAATATTGGATGTTTTTTAATGGGATAAATTGGTGTAAAAGGTGAAGGTGAAGGCATCAGTTTTTCTCTTGACGTTTTCTTCCTGTATCCAATCTCTTCTATCAAACTCTGCCCAACCCTCTCTCTCTAAAAAAAAGGAGAGCAGCTGAGGGCAAGGAGAGAGGAGCTTATTTTTTTTTTCTTTGACCGCTGGTGTATTGTTATTGGAGATATTTTTTTTCGTCTCCGCGGCCCTCGACCCGGATTCCGTCCGGCTTTGGTATCACCGCCATGAACGGGAAGGCCTCTGTTACCAAGGAGCTCAACGCTAAGCATAAAAAGGTCCCAACTCGTTGCCTTTTATTCATCATTTTCTTGTTTAATCTCAATCTTTTACGTCAGCAGAGCCTGAATTGGCCTCAGTTTCGATCAAACTGGCAAATTGCACTGCTAAACGAACGTTTTTTGAAATCGAAAGTTGCCTCTTTCTCTCTTTTCGTTCTTTGACAGAGATCCACTTGTTTTGGTTATGGGCTATTTCTTAGGCATGCTTGATCATTTGAATTTTTGTGAGGCTCACCACGTCCAGGCTTCGAGTTGAAGGAGATCTGGGATTTAGTTTGTTTTTCAATAGGGCCAAATGCTAGGGCGATGTTATAAACGGATATGTATGATTGATATTAATGAAATTGATCGATTGTTGCTATTTTTTCCATATTTATGCACTGTTATATTTGACTTCGCTTAAATAAAAGTTTATATTATATATAGATTGAGTCAAATGAATATTAGTAAACCTAAGGTTTGTGGGTTATATCAGCGTTTATTAATTTCTTTATGGTATATATAATGTCATGTTTGGTGGCGGAAGGGATGAGGCTAATCCAAAATCCAAGAAGTATATTCAGTCCAGGTCGGGGGAAGGGAATTAGGATGGATTACTTAAATAGTATTAGCCAATCCAGCCAGCCAAACAGATGAAATGTAACATTTGCCTGGACGGGACACTCCATCCATACTTAGCTCTTGCCTAACACCTAAATATACAAGATGTTGACTAGGAAATGGAGTTGCTACTTGGTATGGTTTTTGATGGTACTGGTGCTTGTGATCTTTCTTCCTTTCCATTCCTATGTAGAAGAGCAAACCCTTCATGTTTTGGATAACATATGATATATTGAGGCACAAAACACATACATGCATCTCATGCCTTATGTAATGTTAAAGACGTTGCTCTTATGCAACATGAATTTGAATTGACTCAATAAGTGCTCAAGCTAAATTCTTAAACATGAACTATTTGGTGTGGTTACGCTGATTACTGATGACCAACCGTTGTTTATGGCCTCAGGGCATGGTTGTTTTCATACTTATTTATTGATATTCATATGAGGGAAAGCAATAAACTTTTACATCTCTGGTATTCTATGAAAAATAATTTGACATTATATGTATATATATCTGTATGTTCCCAAGCAGGTTTAATCTTATCCAAGCTAGCTTGACAATACAATGGAAAAGGATTGGCTTGAAGAAATAGCTTGAGCTTCACTGGCTAGTTTTGATTTGAGTCATTTTTTTGGTCATTGAGCCAAAAATTTTAGAACTGTAATTTTGTAATGTCAGCTTTAGAGGTACAGATGTTGTTAAGGTTCACAATATTAAGATAAGATGATGGGTAACATGAATGCTGCGGTTGAGGATCTTCTATCATGTTCGTGTCTCCAAGTAAAAAATGTTATCCCTCTTTATATGAATATTCAAGAGTTCCTTATTAAATGGCATCACATGCCCATTACCTAATTATGTGCTGATAGAATTGCTATTTTCTTAAAGGATCCTTTTGTTATGAAGTATAGAAAATTCTCTAAAGGCTTGAAAAGAATATTTTTGAACAATATTACTGAGACTTGTTCATTGAAACTTGTTGAGATTTATCATCTAAGATGATCACTATATGCCTTGTTTTCAATAAAATTTTAAACAGAGTCTAGAGGGATGATATTTTGCCGTCATTGTTTCGCGGTGGAAGCATTGTCCTTGCATTGCCACTTTTACAGTGTAAGGTTATTGCTGCTTAAGCTAGAACTTGTCCTAGTTGTTGCATTGGTTGTTGATTTATGGTTTTCAAGCTTGCTTTCTTAGGATAATTTTGGGCACATCATTTATTTCATATGAACAGATGATGTCATGTTTTGGCAATTTCCATGCAAATAATCATCCATGTAAAGAGGCCTCAAATTGTTGTTTTAGCTGATAACTTTTATCCCAGTGAAGTTGTTATTTGCTCATACCATATAAATTTTTATTGGAACTATTTGATTCACTGATTTTTAGCTATTTTTTTCCCTCATAATACTTCTGTTTGGTTTGGCGAAGATTTCTTGTCTGGACTCTTCTCTAGTTATGGTATCGTATGTGGGATTAACATGTATTTAACTAAATGCGTGCCATCTTGCTTTACACAAATCTTGGTTTATTTCAATTCATGACCATGTTCTTGATCAAGCTTTGAAAAGAATGAAACTTAAAAGGTGAATCTGCAAGAAGTTTATCATGTTGAATTTTGTTTGAATGCGCTTCTTCTCTTTGCTGACTATCAAAGTTATTGAGTTTCCTATTTATGTTTTAATTGTTTGCTGACTATCAAAGTGATCGTGTCCTCTATTAATGCTTTAATTGTTTGCTGGAGAAAACTTTAACTCTTATTTTTTTTTTTTTATCTTTAGCTTTTTTTGCTGTTTATCTACACATACAATCCCGAAGCCCTCTGGTAACATATCCACAATTAAACCTTATTGTTTATCTTTAGATGAATCTCCAATCTCTCACCCCATTTTTTTCACGGTTAGATATGTTTAATTTTCGTGAAACACTTTATTTACACTCTGCTAGCCCTCTTTCTTGACCCATCTTTTGATTCCAAAAGCAACAGATTCATTCTACAAGATTCATCATCATCACTTTAATTCCCAACCATTGAAGATTGGCTTTTCATCATGCTATATTCCAAATTGCAATTCTACTTCAG